TCATCTCAATAGAAATTACAAAAATGTCAACAAATTGGGATTTTTTAAGTTTATTTGGCCTTTTGATCTTGATAGAATTAATTTTACATTTAATAAACATATCAGCCATAGAGATAGCTTTTACAGTGCATTGACAGTTACATCTAACTTGCTCAATGTACTTTTCAAATATGTTCCCATATTTTTTTGTTTTATTAAATTTGAGTATATTAAGTACAAGGTTAAGCATAGTTCAGACATTATCTTGGTAAATCAGTCATTCACACCCATGGTGGTGATGAGCTATGCAGCCACAGCTGCCCTGGGGTGCAGTGGCGAGGCTGATGCCATACTTTTCGAGTACTTTCAAACATAAATATTCTATGGGAAACCATGTCTGGAAGATTTGTTAAATGTATATATTTTAAAATCTTTTTCAACCAGTTGTTTTTGAAGTGTTGTGTTTGATTACAAGTTACATGGTTGTATGCAAACATGCGTTATTTTGATTATAAAAATTATTTATATTTTAAGTCATGTGTGTGTCTGTTTTGGTTTTTCATTGTTTTTTCTTCATTGAAGCTTGTATTTATTTCAAGTTGCTGGTAAAGGTTCTCAGTCATCCAGGTCATGGTAATCCAAAAGGGTCCGAATGAAGGTAATCGAAGAAGTCCAGTTGCCTTTATTTGAACCCCTTAGGATGTACACCTTGGCTAGTAGAAGCTAACCATTAGCATTAGCAACACCAACACAAGGTGGACTCCTCCTGGCTTGGTTTATTTGTTGAGTTAAAACATCCATGTTGCAAGTCAGTGGTAGAGTCGTGTTGCTATTAGCCAATCAGAGGCAAGATGTCCAAATATCAGGAAATAAGACTCCAAAACTTGCCATCTGAAGCTCAGCTGTGATGTGGTTCGCTTCTAGTTCCTGGAAATGGTGCACCGGTGTTTAAGACATTAATTCCAACTAGAGACCACTGCAGATGAATTGATTAAGCTTCCACACCTTTAAAATTCAATATTAAAATGGAATGAAAGCAAGATACAAACCTAGACTTGTTCCACATGAATAGATGTTTTTTTTAAAGATCTCATTGTTTGTGTGTGCTCAGACCTTTTATAAATAAAAATATACATCTTTTTTAGATGAATTTGAACCAATGAAAGTAAAATATTTCAGCTTGTTTTTCATCAATTCGGCTTTAGGATATATGATTTTTAGATAGAGGTTCATCACACCCAGGGCCGCGGAGAGCAGCGGGGACAACAGCGATGAGGAGGGGGAGGCTGTAACCCAGAAGGACCACAGCCCTTCTTGGAACTCATCATGAGATGGGAACAGCTCATAACCGTGGCTGCCTCTTTAAAAAGAAAAGAGGACCCACTGGAGACGAGGGCCTGTTTATGGAAAAGCCAGGACATGTAATCGGCAAGCTGCTTATTCATCTCAACTTTCCTGGCCTGAGTTTCTTCCCCCTCATCTCCTTTTCCTCTCCTCCTGTCCCAGGAGATCCAGATTTTTGTTTGTGGAAGTCGAGCTACAGAGCATGTTCAAACTGGAGCACAACATCACATTTTACATGAATTTGAAGCTGGCAGGATGACGACTCCTAAATCCTTCTACTTGTTGATTCATGTCGCTTGTTGACTGAAACTCCACGTTTATAGACGTCTTCATCAGTGAACTGAGTTTGAGAACAATTTATAATTGGAAAGTTTTAGTCCAGGAAGGAGCAGCTTTAACTCATCATCTCTTTAAGGGGAGAAATCTGCTCCTCCTGCAGGGATAAACCTCTGAACAAATGTTTAAATGTGTTTACTGCAAATTGTTCTGAAGTAGATTTCTCAGCAGTTAATAGTTTACCTGCTGTAGATGGCTCCAGATTGACAAGCTAACGGCTAGTCTGAGTGGGGCTAAAACTAAAGTGCAGCTCAACATTTTGACCTCCCATTCATTTTCCTCAAATGAACTAAACTTCACACAGTTGTATCAAACCAGAGTGGAAAAAAGTCAAGTGAATGTAAATAATCAGAATTCATGTCGGCCAGCTTGAGTTGCACATTCACGAACAAGACAACAAAAGGTGTTGCTTCCAGCTGACATCATGGAAGTAGAGAGAGGGGCTTAAATGTGTAATACCATTTTCCTGCCTCTAGATGGTGCCCTCTGAGAAAGATAACCTCAGCGTTTTTGCTTTAATGCATGCAAATGATAGTTTCTCAGTTGGAAAATAAAATCACACATCTTTTTTCACTGTGGTAAATATACTTTGTGTATTATAGCACGGGGGACACTTTTTGATATAACGCCTGTAGTGCCTAAATATTACAGAGTGAAAATTGCTCTCCACAATCTTTCTGTGCTGCAGTTGCTGGTGACTGGATTGGTGCAAGAACACTACTTCAGGATTTAATCTTGGTTATCAAATACCTTGTTCATCAGTATCTTTGAAAAGCAGGGTCATCTAAATTCAAATTTTGTTTTGTTCTAAGGGATTTGTCTCATCTCCTGTTTGTTTTTTGCAGACGTCTGGAAAAGCATAACATGTACAAGATCTAAAAGCTTCAATCTTTACATGAATGATGATTTATAAACATCTACACCAGACTTTTTCATTTTCAAGTTGAAATTTACTAAATGGGGTCAAAGCTGTGTTGGAATTGCTATGGCTAGCTACTCATAAAGCTATTAGTGCTTAAATCATAATGTAAATAACCACTTAATGAATAATTGATGGCATTCAACATGTTTATTAGAGCAAACTGTTTAGGATTTGAGTTTAGACAAAAACATGTCACTTTGTGTCTGCCCTACTCAGAGTAGCCGTTAGCCTGTCGATCCATTTAACATTAAACCGTGTTTCTCCAAAATGAGGTTGTTCAAATAGCTAATTAACGTTTCCACAGGACCCAGCTTTTAAAGGTCTGAGCTATTATGTTTCAGATGCGTATTAAAATGTGAGGATTTTTTTTTTATGGAAACGACTCACTGTTTCCATCTGGTTGTTTTCTGACCTCCTCTCCTTCAATCTCCTGACTCGTTTCTGCCAGTCTTTCTCTCCAAACACACTACGTTTTGGGTGTGTCTAAATTAACGTAGGAAAATCCATAAAGCATTCACGTTTTTCCCCGTTTGTCTCTCTGGCTTCCACATCAGTGGAGTAGTTTCCTCAGGTTGTTTCTCGTGTTCTTGCCATGTGTGTAGTTGAAGGATGTTGGAGGTTTATTTTTTTTTTATCTGGCTGCCTTTTCGTGTCTGATATCTGCAGACATGAGTCATCCCAAAGGGCTCTTGATGTTTTAACCCAGTATAAGGTCCCAATGCTGACTGGTGGAAACTTCAGGTCCAGGGGTAGGAGGGTAGCATGCCTTCTCATGGTATGTCACCGGAAAAAAAAAAACTATGGAATTAGCTGAGACTGGGGTGAAAAGTCAACATCTCTCCTACTCCCCCTTTTTACAGCTTGTGGTTGTTTTTTTTTAAAACCACATTTCCCTTCCAGTTGATTTCAAACTCTCCTGACATGCAGCTTTTCAAGTTTCCCAAACCTCAACAGGAAAAATGGCCGCCAGACGTTTTTTCAGTGTGACGTTTTTCTGTGTCAGCGCCAAAAAGAGCTGAAGTTACTTAAACCCACCTAGAGGAGGGTGACACGTTTTAGTGAATAACAGAATGTAATTTCTTCATGGTGTACACGTCTGAACAGCCATGGCATGTTACTGGCTCTTAACGAGCAAAGTTTGTTGAGTTGCCAGATGCTGTGTGGTCCGCAGAGCAGGGACGGTTGAGAAAACATGCCTTCAGGATGTATTAACAAGTCAGAGTGCTGATGTAACACAGCTGTGACTTTAATTTTCAGCTTAACCTAAACTAAATTGTTTATGTAAAACCAACAGTGCATTCTCTGGATGTGAATGCTTACCTCAGTAAAAGATGTTGCAAATGAAGGTATTACAATGTCCAAGGATCAGTTTCTATAGGATCTGAATTTTTGAAGGTTCTGCGGTGTCTAAAAGAGGACAAAATGTCCCCTTTTAATGTAAAATGATGCAAACTTAAGATGAGCTAAACAATAGTTTTCTGCTTCCTGTCATTACCATACAGACATTTTTTGGGTCAATTTTGAAATGACAATTTAAAAAAAGCAATCAATAATTACTGCTTATTTTTTTACTTTATGACTTGAAAGTTTTAATCTTTTAAAGCATTTTGAATTTTTTTTAAATCATCAGAGTCTCCCCACCCCCACACACCCACCACCACCCCACCCAGATCCTAAACAATACACTCAGTTCTGATTCTTCTTGCTGGTTAGGTTTTTAGATGTGAAAATTATTAAATGTGAAACTAAGAAAATATGTGAATAATTCCACAGGCATTTGAAACATATTTGCTTTTAATATGCAGGAATTATCAAGACACTTTTCTTTAGTCTATTTTGGACAAACGGTAAAAAATAAATATCTAAAACTGTTGGTATTTTACAGCATCTCTGGTTTTTAAATATGATTTTCCATTAAATGCTTTTTATTTCTCATGTCGACCTGCTTTATGGAAGTTTACAAGCCCTTTTTATTGATGCTCCTTTGGTCACTCTCGGTCTTTTTGTGGTGAAGTGTCTGATTTACCTGCTGTGTGAAGCTCAAAGCTGCCACCTGCTGTCTACAGCATCAAGCAGGTACCGTATTCAGATCCAGGAACACAAGTGATCCATTTTAAAGCTGGAACTCTGCTTCTGTCTAGATTTGCTCTTCTGATCTTCTAAAAATATAATTAAAAAAGGAAAAACAAACTAAAACACAGACGACCTGTTGAGGTCATTAATGTGCTAAAATGTGACAGTCAGTTATATTCAGTTATTTCTAGGACATATTTTAAAACAATTACTAATCGTAGCAGATTAGAGGTGGTTATTTTTGTTCTGTGCATCTGGAGGAAGTGACCTCATGTCTGACTGGTGGACACCTGCATGTTTTTGCTTTTAAGATTCATGCAGACTTCTGAATTTTTTCGTATTGCAGGAGACGACGATTGCACAGCAGATGGTCAGAAGTACTCAAACACCGACATCTGGAAGCCGGAACCCTGCCGGATCTGCGTTTGTGACAAAGGCCAGGTCCTCTGCGATGAGGTCCATTGTGAAGAGCATACCAACTGTGAGAAGATGTACGTCCCAGAGGGCGAGTGCTGCCCTGTCTGTCAGGGCGATTCGCCCAGCGGCGGCGGTGGTGGTGGCGGTGAGTCGTGTTATTCAGGGTTATTTTTTTCTCTATGAGTGCATTTACTCCATTCCAGATGCAACAAACTGAAAGGTGTTCTGTCTCTCATGCAGGTGGAGATAGAGTCTATAAGGTGAGCTGCTGTTTGTGTGTCATGTGCTTGTTGTTACTCTAATTTCCATCATGTTGTGAGAATCTTGTTCCTCTTGGTGTGTTCAGGGACAGAAAGGAGAACCTGGAGAAGTTCCAATTGTGAGTTTTTTTCTGTGTTTCCAACAAACATGTTAAAAGGTCAAAGGTCAGGGTCTAACAGGTGTGACTTCTCTGCAGGTGACGGGCATACGAGGTCGTCCTGGACCGATGGTGAGCGTTGTCACAGTGTTTAGCTGCACACAAAGAAACTTTGGTCTTCGTTAATTTAATAATTGTTTTATCCCACCAGGGGCCTCCCGGCTCGGCTGGATACAGAGGGCCTCACGGACACAAAGGAAGGCCGGTACGTTCACCAGTCGCTTCAGACAGGAAGCAAAACTCGAACATGAAAATAACGAATCCTCAGATTTTATTGATAATTAATTCCCCCAAAACAGGTATATGGAGCCTGAAATGTATCAATTAATTTAAACAAAATTTTAAATAATTTATTTCCTCAAGAGATACAAATTCTCCATGACACAATCTTATGTTTTTTTGTATAAGAAAGTGACCTCAAATAGTTTCTAAAGACAAAACATCAGTCCAAATAACTGAGGTTTCTGGGACGGTTGCATTATTTGGGTTTTTAATCTATGCAGATCTCAGGGTTTGTCTCATTCTTGCTGCTAATCGGTGTCTCATCACCACACCGTTTTATAAGGCCAGTTTAAAAAAAAACAGGTGTTGCTTGTGAACACTGTTTATTGATCTCCGATCAACATTCATTCAACACCACTTAGTCACACACGACCAGGATTTGTAAACACCAGCTAGTGGCACTGTTTATAATTTCTGTTGAAAATGGTTAAAGCAACTCGACAAGGTGTTCCGATCTACTTTAAGTGACTTAAAAGCACAAAAAGCTGAAAAGTAAGAGAAAGCTCTTTTTTCACATCTGTGTTATTTTATCTAAAATTATTTGATAAAGGGCTCTCCCTTAGAAATAGGGTGAGAAACTCGGTCATCCAGGAGGGGCTCAGAGTAGATCTGCTGCTCATCCACATCGAGAGGAGCCAGTTAAGGTGGCTAGGGCATCTGGTCAGTATGCCTCCTGAAATCCTCCCTGGTGAGCTTTTCCAGGAATGCCCAACTGGGAGGAGACCCAATGGAAGACCTAGGACACACTGGAGGGACTATGTCTCTCAGCTTGCCAGCTTGAACACCTTGGGATTCCCCCGGAGGAGCTGGCCCCTCTCAGCTTGGGTTTCTGCCCTCGCGACCTGGATATTTGGTAAAGGTGAATCAGCTTGGAGATCCTAAATAAAATACACATTTTTGGCTGTTGGTCTCCTTAATCTGGCCTCTAGCTCCTCATGGAAGCTGTTTTTGCATTACTGTGCAACTGTGATCAACAGCTAAAACATACTCATCAGACGTGATGATACCCAACACCAAACATGAAACTGAAACGTATTTATAAGATACAATTTCCTCCCAACAATTCTCAGTAACGTTTGCTTTTGCTTTCTAAATTCAATCAAAAACATTTTATTTTGAAAATCAACAGGACATAATGGAGCTATTGTTTTTTTAGTTAATTTTTTAAAAACTGTGCTCGGAGAGATGGAAATTGCTTTGATATAAATGTGAAAGTTCCCTAAACTCCACCCCTATAAAGTAACAGTCCTCATTGTATTGTTTCTATTGCTGACACTTAGTAATCTGAATATTTATAGTAATTTTCCCAATTTTAAGACCCAGTAGACTAATGTAAATAAAGATATAGACAGAAGATTTTGTTTTATTCTTTCTGTATGGCCGGTACCGGTGTCTCCAGCTGCTTGAACTTCTTTAAAAGTGTTTAAGTGACCTACATCGGTTGTGAGATGTGGAAAAGTGAAATGCTCATTTAGAGCTTATACGCACAATCATATATATTTAAGCACAAGGCTGGAAAATCTTGGAATCTCCATCTTAAAAATGTTTGGATTTAATAGAACACAAGCTATTTGCTTGAGACACAAGCTATTTGCAGTAATATGATACCTGTATAAGAGATTACTCGTGTGAGATCTGAATACTTTTATTACAAGATTTATTAGAAAAGCCTTTCATTAAGTAATGAAACTAAACCAAATTGCTTCAGACTTGGGATATGAAATATCCATCCATCCATTTTCAGCCACTTATCCAGGTTCGGGTCACGGGGGCAGTAGCCTAAGCAGGGAGGCTCAGACTTCTCTCTCCCCAGCCACTTGGGCCAGCTCGTCCGGGGGAATCCTAAGACGTTCCCTGGCCAGCCGTGAGACATAGTCCCTTCAGTGTGTCCTGGGTCTTCCTTAAGGGCCTCTTCCACATTGAACATGCCCGGAAAACCTCACAGGGCATCCAGGAGGCATCCAAACTAGATGCCCGAGCCACCTCAACTGGCTTCTCTCGATGTGAAGGTGCAGGGGGTCTACTCCGAGCCCCTCCCGGATGACTGTAAAAATCATTTCGGCCGCATGTATTCGCCATCTCATTCTATTGGTCACTACCCAAAGCTTGTGACCATAGGTGAGGAGTGTAACGTAGATCGACTGGTATATCAAGAGCTTTGCCTTGCTCTCTCTGCACCACAACAGATCGGTACAATGCCCACATCACTACAGATGCAGCACCAGTCCGCCTGTCGATCTTGTGATTCATCTTTCCCTTACTCATGAACAAGAGCCTAAGATACTTAAACTCCTCCATGTGAGGTAGGACCTCATCCCTGATCCGGAGAAGGTATTCTACCCTTTTCCGGCAGAAGACCATGGTGTTGGATTTAGAAGAGCTGATTCGCATCCCAGCTACTTCACTCTGTTGCGAGCCTCTGCAGTGAGAGCCGGAGATCAAGTTCTGATAAAGCCAACAGGATCACGTCATCCACAAAAAACAGAGACTTACTGCCGGCAATGCAGACGCAGCTCTGACACTGGTCATATTAAATATAAAAAAACCATCCAATAAAAAAATCTTTGAAAATCATAACTAAGTCAGTCTAAGACTTGTTTTAAAGTGTCTCTTTTACTTTTCAGGGACTGCGAGGTCCTCCAGGCTACGATGGAGAGCCAGGCATACCAGGTCAACCTGGTGAACCGGGACCTCCGGGTCCTCCAACACACCCAGGGGTGAGTCAATCAGAGAGATTAAGCGATAAGGAAATTAAATCCCCTTTGTATTTGCACACAAACTGATATGGAATTTGGATAAACTGATTTTATTTTTTATTTTTTTTTTTTGTGACTTGCAGGGACTGGGAGGCCAAATGGCTCAAGGATTTGATTCCAAAACGGGACCACAGGCCATGCTGAATGGTGCCAGGGTAAGAAAAAAGTAACAAAGCTTGTTTACCAAACCACTAACAACTTCAGTTCAGTTCAATTCAGTTTATTTATATAGCACCTAATCACAACAAAAGTTGTCTCAAGGCTCTTCACAAGTTGACATTCCTGTTGAGTTCAGTTCACTGTGCCAATTATTTAAAATGTTCCTACATAAGGAACCCAGCTGAGTGCATTGAGTCACTGACTTGTTGTGTATGTGTCCTTACAGCAATCCTCATACTAAGCAAGCAATTAGCAACAATGGAGAGGAATATATATATATATATATATATATATATATATATATATATATATATATATATATATATATATATATATATATATATGTATATGTATATATATATATATATATGTATGTATGTATGTAAAATATACATTGGGATTGCTTAGTAGATATTCTATTTAATAAAATTTATCGGAGTGAATCTATAATTAATTCAACAGATGAACTAGTAGTAGCACATTCTACGATTAAAGAAAGTAAAACGTTAACTCATTAAGTGCCAAATGTCTTCATTTGCATTTTTTTACTGTGTGGGCGTCGGAACGAGCTCCCGCACCGTGAGAACAAACATCTCGGCTCTAAAGCCGATCTTCATCCACATACGTGACACGTCACGTGACCAAGAAGCAGAAAATCCATGTGTTAGGGCAGTGGTTCCCAAACTTATTTAGCCGCGCACCCCCTTCTATGTCCCGACCATGTCGACGCACCCCCACCCCCCACCCCCCCCCCACCCCACCCCACCCCCACATCGGGGCATGGCTATATATATATATATATATATATATATATATATATATATATATATATATATATATATATATATCAGATGTCAAGCTAAACAGACAGGGTTAAAAAAATTCCCCATCACTTTCATTTTTTAAATAGTAATTAATATACATTCGTCCGATACCATTACAATTTCCTTTGATTTCATTTTAAATAAATATTTAGAGTGCCCAGGTAGCACATAAAGAATGCAATTTAACGGTTTTCTTAAAGTAGGAACGTTTAATCTGTGCGGCCAGAGCGCTCTCCTTCCTTCTGTTCTGCTTAAACCTGAGCTGATCACCTACTTGTGTGTAATCAAATGTCTATAGGGGACAAGATATAGCCATGATGTTCACTTTTACCTCAGACCGACTTATTGCTGTTTCATGGTGAGGCTGAATCTGCGATCCGCTGTCATGCGGGCTGGAATAACACATGCTGCAGTAACAGGACTTGTGGTCAGGTTCATGAGGAGTCACTGGCTGTAGCGGACCCGACTCATCCCAGAAGCTAATATCTTAATTTGACCTTGAATGAAAAATAACCTCTTAAAAGTTTTTATCGTGGTGGAGGCAGCGTTCATTTCTGCCTTCAGTCTGACGGCGCGCCGGAGTTAAAGCAGCGTGTGCGCTTATTGAATCTGTGTGTGTGCGCGCGCACGCGCGCGCGGCACAGCCGCTCAAGTCACCGCGTCTCATTATTGGCGCTATTTAAACTTCTGCCCAGCCCAGATGTGCTCACTTGTGCACCCGTGAGCCGTGGTTCCGCTGGAACGCGTCTGACCTCTGACAGACGCACTCTGAACTTCAGATCGTCAGCGCGCTGTTAATAGCCTGAATGGGAATCATTTCTTGTTATTTTGTTACATCCACAATGTTCTGTATGTGAGGTTTACAATGTCAGAACACCTGCATGAGACAGGTGTTAATTACAATCTGCCAGAATGACTCACCACCTTCAGATTTCTCCAACACCGATAAAAGTGATCAAATACGGAACATATCGGCGTGCGCAGGCCAGAGTGCTGAAGCTCGGCGCATTGTTATTATGAAGCTAGGGCACATGTGGAGGACACATGCGCAAAAATATATTTGTTTTCAATTACATTTATTGTGCCCACTTACTTTTCCTTTGGCCCACCCACAAATGAGTTTCTACATTAATGGTGACACATGACAGACTTCTCTGAGCTCCGCAGCCATTACACTTTTCACCTCGCGCTCCCCCTAGCGGCAGCTCGCGCACGACCAGGGGTGCGCGCACCACACTTTGGGAATCCCTGAACAGTTAGGGGATCGTTTTGGGCCGCTGCTGTAAAAAAAAGCGGGAGCGAACTGGAAAAGCTTCTGCCGATCACAATTCAACAACGGATTATGAAAAAGCGGATAACGCTCGTAACGCGCGGTTTCTTCTTGATTTAAGAGGTGAGTCTCTGCTTTGTTCTGGTTGTTTTGGCGTTGACATCATCATAGAGCGCAACATTCTGTGACTTAAAAAAAACAGTAAAAACGGTGAGAAACGCTGGCAGCGAAGGGCTTTACCGATCAGGAAATGGCTGGCAGCGAATGAGTTCATGTCATGAGAGGGAGATTGTTCAGTGGTTGGCAGCAGTGTCAGGAGGGTGCCTACACGAACATGTTGGAAAAAAATTATAAAAATAGTATTTACATTTTGACTGACATTCTTTCCAAACATTCACCAAACTTTAAACATTTTCTAAAATTGAAAAACTAAAATTCATAAACAAAGAGCTTTACATTAACTGTTTGAATTGCCCCAAATGAATTTGCAGGGTTTGGTAAATTGAGTGCTTTAAGAGCTATATATATATATACATATATATATATATATATATATATATATATATATATATATATATATATATATATATATATATATATATACATACATATATATATATATATATATATACATACATATATATATATATATATATATATATATATATATATATATATATATATATATATATATATATATATTACCTCTACTTATGACCAATAAGCTGTGATACTCTATCTAAATATAGAACATCAACCCTGCTTGGTCTTTACTGTGTTTATCAGAAGATTCTAGGATTCTTTATTTATTAGGGGATTGTACACACTTTGTCAGGTTTATAAAAGTAAGAATTTATTTTACCAACAATTAAAACATGACAAGTTAACGAAACATTTACTGTGATGGATGGAACTAGATGTGATGTATGAAACCTATGTGTGAATGCGGTGTTATTCAGAATTTCCGTATCTAGGAGAGCCGAGTTCTGTATGTAAAAGGATTTGGGTTGCGTTAAGCTATGAAGATGATTATTATCAAAAGCACATAAGATGCTATCTGTGTGCCTACTTCACCCATTTTCGGAGACACTCTTGGTGGATCTGAAGGTCAGAGAGGTCGGATGACCTCTGGCACCGGAGGGCTATAGAACACCGTGGCACCGACCCTTCAGTCCAGAGATGTCTTGGGTCACGACAGATGGATGGAACTGGGACTCTGAAGGAGTCTAAACAATATCAGCTTGTTCTGCAGGAACTGTTGCTGTATCAGCTTCGCAGGTGCAAAAAAGGTTTTGACGACCTGTCAAAAGCTTTGATTGTTAAAGAGGGTTTTGCTTCAGGTGGCTTTCTGAAGCTTTCTGTAGAACTGAGGAACCACCAGAGTAATCTGGTTTTAATGTTCTCATGTTATGGTTTGTGTAGCCAACCAGAGGTTGACAAGTTTAGGAATGTTACCAAGACAACTCAGAAACACGCCATCTTTGATCCGGAAGCTCTGATCTGGGGTAAAGGCTATTTATGTGTCATGGGTTTAACTTTACCTTACTTGTTCTTGTGTGAGTGCAAATGGTGATGACCTTGTCAAATAAACATGCAATCAATCAATGTAATCACAACATAACCTTTATTTTAACCTTCAATCATTGAGCACAGATTAATGAAAGCATTTCATTATATTATAATTATTATAAGTAGCAATTAATAAACATTTATTTACTGATTATCTAGCTTATAAGTTTGAGTCATTATTTGATTTAGCAACTAATCTGGGCTGCGAGTGTTCACTTATTTGGAGGCATGAAGAATCCTGTAGGAAGATAAGTTCAAGCTTGAGGAGAGAACGTTATTGTTGACATTTCGTTAACTGTGTTCAGAGCTGCAGGCTCTGAGCTCCAGCTGGTGGGATGAAGGCAGGCTGATTAAAAGGGAACACATGCAGTCTCAAGTCTCCTTTTTGACCAGATGTTGAATGGTCAAACTGTACCTAAAAACTGACCATTGCTGGACGTTACAAATTAAAACACGCTGGGGGCAGCAGTAGTTCAGGAGGTAGAGCGGGTTGTTGTAGTAATCTGAGAGCTGTAGGATCAATCCCAACTCCCGGCAGAGAATGCTACTGTTGTGTCCTTGGGCAAGACACTTTACCAACCTTGCCTGCTGGTGGTGGTCGAAGGAACAGTGGCACTTGTGTGCGGCAGCCTCGCCTTTGTCAGTGCACCTCAGGGCAGCCATCGTACATGGACGACGTATAAAAATATTCTGTGTTCTTCAACAAAAATCTGTATTTTATTGAGGCAAATTTGACTTGGATAATTTTGGTAAAAGGATTATGTGAATTAGGACAAAAGATGAACATTAACCCATTTTAAACTCATTTTGTTTTTGCAACTCAGGCTTTTAAATGCAACTAAATAAATATTTGCCTTCTAAAATCCAAACTTGATAGAGTTTGATTTGGGTTATTTGTTGCAGGGAGAAGCTGGAGCAAGAGGACCTCCTGGACCGAGCGGGTCACCTGTGAGTCTGCAGCTTTATCAGATGAAAATTAAACAAATAAAAACAAGTCAATGCTTTTTGATGTGATCGTTTATGTGTTTTGTCCTTTGAAGGGCCAAGCTGGACCTCAAGGACCTCATGGAGATGTTGGTGATCCGGGACACATGGTATTATAATAATTTGTATATAAATATTATTGCTGTTAAATTTGAATCCATCATAATGGGACTGATCCTGTACTTTTGTTTTTTGTTTATGAATTTATTGATGTTTTTAGGGCTCACCTGGACAAAGAGGACCTGAGGGTCCAGCAGGGAAACCAGGCAAAGACGTGAGGCTATTTACTTTTCACAGATTGTTTATTCAAATATTTGTTAGATACAGTTTTGCTAAACTGACTGTAAATCTTTAATTTGTCTACATTCAGAAAAGCTGAGCTGGATTGAGGACATTTAAATTCATCATATTCTGCAACATATTTTTGAGTTTTAGATTAAATTTATTCAAAATAAAATAATTCTGGAATCTTCCTAATTTTGCTACAAACCATCACATCACCTCATGCTATCTAATTTATTGTTGTATTGGAATAAAAATCACTCATGTTTAAATCCGTGACATTACACAGGGAGAACCAGGAAAATCGGGAAATCCCGGAGAAGTCGGCTTTCCCGGATCAGCTGTAAGCCTCTTTAACTCCTTATCCTGATAGATTAAATCTATAATACTTTTATTCTTTACTATTTTTTACAAAATTATTAATTATATTCCACATCATGGATTTCAGGGTCCAAGAGGATTTCCTGGCACACCGGGACCTCCTGGTCTGAAGGGGCACCGTGTGAGTATGAACTTCCTGAACCTTTTAATCCATTTCCATTGATTGATTGTGCTGTAAAGCGCCTTGGGAGGTTCCAGGACTCTAAAAGGCGCTATATCAAATACAGGCCATTTACCATTACCATTTCTTTATGTTTTTCAACCTTTCTCAATGCTCGATCACTATTTTCTTACAAACAGGGTCACTCTGGACCACTTGGCCAAAAAGGTGAAATGGGAGCTGTTGGATCCAAGGTATAAAATCAAAATAAAATTTTATTAAATAGGTAAATGGTTTTATGAAATGTACTGTTTATTAAAAACTGTTGGAAAAAACCCATGATACATCTCATTCAGCAATACCCTATGATTTACGAGATCACTTCTAATGAATGTTTAAATGTATGTGAAAATGTCAGTGAATAAATGAATATTCAGTACTTTTAGTCTGAATAAAATACTTTAGTGTGTTTTTGACATTCTAGATTGCAGTGAGACAGATAGGCTACGATTAATTGTAACAGTGTTATGTTTCGTTATCATGGTATCATCGTACTAGATTATTATGACACATATTTTAATCCATGTTAACCAATAATTTGTTGGTAAATGATAAATATCGGTGCTACCTCTGAGTAATCAAATATGGTTCTTTAGGGTGCTACTGGGCCTCCTGGTCCAATGGGAGGACCTGGACCCATGGTGAGTTCAAATTTGCAGTAAAAAACTTTCTTTAATGTAATTTTCCAAAATTCAGATTTTCTCATAAACAATTAATGAATGACTGATAGGGTCCTGCTGGGATGCCTGGTGAGAGAGGACGGCCTGGACCAGGCGGTATTGCCGTAAGCACATTACTTTAACCATGCATAGTGAAAATTTTATTGGTTTTATGTCATGTATTTATTTATTTATTTTTGTATTTTAGGGTAAACGTGGTCTGCCTGGCAACATTGGGAAACCTGGTCCATTGGTAAGACTTTTGAATGTATATACATAAAAAATCAGTTCCAAGAAAGATTTTTGAGGAGTAAACCATCATATATTCAGTGTTAGACTTGTTCTTCAGCCATATTTTAGTTAAATGAAAACAACTAGTATGTCAGTTTTTAGCTCTAGGTTTTGTTCTTAATTGGAAATGTTTGAAGTGACTCCTAAGCAAACAAGAACTATTAATAACAAACTTTCTCCTCATTAGGTTTACAGTTTTAAACTCCAGTCCATTAGGTGATGCTGTGACACTGCTCTTGAATTGGTAGAAAAGGCATTTGTGTTATTTTTAACCAGATTGTGACTGTGTGTCTAAATTCAGGGGTTGCACGCTTATGAGGTCAGATTTTAAGACCTGTGACGTCACACAGCTGCGACGAAGATCATCCAAATTCAAAGATTGCCTGGAATGCGGTCTTGAAATTCATTCTTCTTTTCCCCTAATTTGAGAACGGGTGCAGTGTAGTCTCCTCACCTTTATAAATGCCAAGACGTACTGCGGGACTAGCCTGGCCTGCCAGACTCCTCTGTTTAATTCTGCACAGAGAAAGGGTCTGGGAACTCTCCTATTCAAATAATCCCACCCCATGAGAATTCTAACTGAGCCAATCAGCGCTGAGTAGCGTATGTAACCCACCATAACGCTGAGTTTGTCGTAAACATGGCAACTGAAGCAGAGTTCGCTGCAGCTCTTTCCTCTGTTCTAAATGACTTGGACACATCTTTAAAACAACAAGTAGAAGCACTAAAAGCCTTTCTTCTAAAGAAAGATGTTTGCGCTATCATCAGACGCCATTTTTTACTACAGCTAAAAAAAAACTAAAGCGTTGCGGACGTCACACACAGCGATGCTCAGTTTCTCATAAACAATGAAGACAGTGGCGGGGTTCGCTGCGGCTCTTTCCTCTGTTTTAAATGACTTGAACGCCTTTAAAACCACAACAAATAGAAGTGCTAAAAGCATTTCTTTAAAAAATAAAAATAAAAGTTATTTGCGCCGTTGCCAGACACCTTTTTTTACTACAGCAAAAAAATTACAGCGTTGCACGGTAGGGGTTGTATGAACTAGTCGACTTCACGGCTCTGTAGTGACTTTTTATGCCTGTCAACGACTAGTCGCTGTCACGTGATAATGACTGACAAGATGCAGTTCTCCAGCAGGTGATGAGCCCCTGCATCGGGAGGCGGAGGCGACGAGCTGTGCCAGAGCGTCGGTACTGACACCGGCGGTAAAACGGACATTTAACCAAACTGTGACCTTTTCCCTCTTGCAATTTAACCTTCCCCTCACCCCCATCCTAATCTTAACCAGTTTGCGCATGCAAAGCTCTGATCGTTGACGCGCTCCAGACATCTGCGTCACCACCTCAAAAACAAATTAAACACGCGATCGTTCATGTCGGCTCATTTCCTTTCATGTTTTCTGTCTGTTATTTGTGCCTGATACGTTTCGCTGCTGCGGAGCGAGGCGCATCACCTGTTTTGTTCTCCGGTGACGCACCCCCAAGATTCCACTATCTCCGCTCCGGCACGAACTCCGCAGCAAAAACTGTCCCGTTGTAGTCGGCCAGCGAGCAGCGGCACTCCACTGTTTTTGTGGTCGGTAGATCTTTTAGAACTGCAGTTCAAAGGTAACTCATGAGGTGAATATATATGAACCCAGGTAGCAGTTTTTCTTTAGGATTGAGAGGAGACGCAGGAAGATAATAAACAGGCAGGACAGAAAAATAGTCAAATAAAAAAAAGTTAGTTTTTGTACCTGGTGGTTGCAACAAACAGACACCATTGAAGGCAATCAGAAGTGAGGAACAGAAAATGAAATAATTATTTTAATGTTTAGAGCAGCAGGAACTCCGAGAGGCTGCAGGCGCATCAGTTTGCTGCTGCTGCGCAGGGGGAGGGGGGAGAGGACTGAAGTAGGATGCAGAAACTACCGTTGTTAAAAGAAATGTGTTAACTTAGAAAATGCGGGCGCAACTTTAATTGTCAAACACTCCAGCGAACCTACCGACCCCCCCCCCCCCCCCCCCCCCGCTTCAGGTGTATGACGTCATCAACGACTAGTCGAAGTCGACTCGATTTTCATTACTTGACCGTCGACTTAAAAAAAATTGAGTCATACAGTCGGCATTTCAGTCTTTTTTCTGATTGGGTATTTTTGAGCTGGCTATTCCCGCCCCTCATGTGCCTCTCTGTCTGTGAGTAACCAGACTCTTTCTCTGTGCAGAAGTAAACAGAGGACGAGTCTGGCAGGCCAGGCTACTGCGTGACCGGTGTTGTGAGAAATTCTGTTCCCTGTGTCTGAAGGTCGCACTTCAGGCTATTTTCACACCGTTTGTCATCGACTTTTACGGGAAAATTATGTAATGTTATAATGTCATGCTTGTGATGTTTTTATTCATATTTCCTCCTAAAAACATTAGAAAAGTACAGTAAAGTCATTGTTGTTCACTCTTGTCAAGCAAGTTTATTTATCATTTTTGAAAGTTATGTAAAAAGTTGTAATCTCACTCCGTTTAACCATCTTTTATTTGACGTTGTTCAGTCCCCTCATGGACTTCAAGTTTTGGGAATTTGTTAATATTTGTTCTTTGTAGGGAGCCTAAGTCGAACGGAAAAATTAATGCAAGTCAACGCGGGGCTAAAAATGCGTTTTTCTGATTCCGCTTGTTATGTGCCATAGATTTCACATATGATGTCCGTGAATTTTAAAGAAGCATTTTGATACCAAGAAATCGCTTATTTTTAAATGAGGGGAAATGCTATTTTAGGTTTTGTGTGAAAATAAATCCAGGACTACAAATGCGCTTCATGAAAGCAAACCAGACATGGAGAAAACAGAGGGAAAATGGCTATTAGTTCAGCAAACTTCAAATCCTTCCCATAGGAGGAAATAACCATCATAAAGCTGGCCATTTGGTAAGTAGCAGCTACGCTAGGGGAGAGGAGATTATTTGGTGACATGTGCAATGTGCCGATGTGGTCATGGTAATTACAAGCTTTTTTAAGTTGATAAGTTTCTATGTACAGTACGTGACTGGCATGGTCGAAATACCCATCATTACTTTTCATTTAAATTGCAGTACAACATATGTGTGATCCAGGGCTTAAGGTAAAGCAGATTACAAAATTTCTCTTTTAGCCCCGTTGACTTGCATTCATTTTTTCATTCTTCCGGGGACCCATGAGCCGACCGGAAAAGGAGGAGACAGGCTTCCTATTTGTCTAAGTTATTAGGGAAACATAATATTTCAGGGGAACAGAATTTCTCAGAACACCAGCAGTAGATCTGCTGTAGCTCTTCAAACAGTAACAAAACATGGAAAAAGTTTAAAACATGTGCAAGCTCCATTTCTGCAGCTTCTTCTTAGTGCGGTAGCAGTTGCTAGGTGACAGGAGGACAACAGCCGAAGTAGGGGTGGGACTATTATTTAAGGCTAGACTGTCCAAATTCACAGCTGTTAACATCTAATTGGTCACGGAAGAACACGTTCTCCAGAGACCAATGAGCACGGGTACTCATGAGCATGCAACCCCTGCATTTGGACACAGCCTGTGTGTCCTTGTTGTCCCCAAGTGATAATAGAGTTTCAGTGTGGTGATGAAGTCAGCGGGTTAAACGAACCACCATGCGAGATTTTAAAAATTGTGAAACTATTCAGTATTTCTGTGCTGCAATAAATGGTCTACAGAGCTAAAGACAAAACCAAAATGCTGTCTCAGCTATAAAGAGCATCCAGCGTGTCGTAACATCACTGTGTATTTCACCCATTCGAAAAAATAAACCACTCCGGCTGTTTCTGTCCTTAACTATTAACTGTATTGGTCTTTAATTTCTTCATCTTGGCCCAACGCTGAGCTGACATCTGCTCTGATTCTTCGGCTGCCATCTGCTGAGAAAAATAACTACTGATCTGTCTAGCTCCTCCTGTGGACTCTCATGATGATGGTGACCAACACTTGCTGCTACGTGCCACAATTTTTTTCACTTTTATGTTCAGCTAACGAGAATACAAACAACGGAACTCCGTTTGTTTTCCTTCTTGCAAGTAGTGACATATTTCTGTCAACCAATCAGTGGACTGTGTTGTTGCTCCACCCTAACCGAACTGCTCAAGGAATTTCTGGATCTACAACAGAAGGGAGCCCAAAAAGTCCCGTGACTGACACGGTCCGGGTCAGTTGTTTGGATCTGTTTTACAATCGGAATTAGCAACCCGATCCTTCTCATTCCATGCCAGTTTGGGTGGTGGAAAAGGCCCATACGTTTGTGTAGACAACAAGATGGCTTCCACTGGTCATCATTAACCAGAACAAACATCAGTTACATCAACTCAACATCAACTTCAGCATTTAATCTTTTCAATATTTACTCATTGCCTCCGTTGGTCTACAGGGTCCCTTGGGTATCAATGGCCCGCCAGGGTATCCAGGAACACCCGGTATGAAGGCAAGTAATAACGTCGACAGAAATCTCATATTTACATAAAGTGAAAGTAAAACTTTCTGACTGACATTTAATGGACATACTGGCGTTTCTCCACAGGGACAACCTGGGCCTACAGGTGTCCGGGGTCCAGAAGGTCCACAGGGCCAGAGAGGAGAAACCGGTCACCAAGGCAGGGTTGGACCAGTTGGCCTCAGGGTTAATATCTCACCTGTTGCATATAAAAATTACCTGTGACTTCTGTGTTTGAGAGAGTATCTAATCAGAGAACTTTGTGTTCAAAGGGACCCATGGGTACAGATGGAGGCCCAGGTGCTAAAGGACCAGTGGTTTGTACATGATTGAAATTTTGCCACATTCTGTCTGAAGTTAAAAAGGAAAGCACAAAGGTCTCAAAAACATGGCTGACTCTTTACAGGGCAATTTGGGTCCACAAGGTCAAGGAGGCCACCCTGGACCTTCTGGTCCACCAGGACCTCAGGGAAGCACTGGTCAGCCTGGTATAAAAGGACAAGGGGTAAAGCCAGTCTTAAGTTTTGACTCAACTAATTACAGTGCTTTTTTTGTTTAATCAATGCAAAACAAACTGGCTCTTTTTTCATCCTTTTTTATCCAAAGGGAGATGTTGGTGTTGCAGGATTTAAAGGAGAAGCAGGACCTAAAGGAGAACCAGTAAGATTCAAACTAATTAAACTCAGAGATCACCAGACAAGCACATTTATCTGAGGGATAATTCTGATTTATGTGTCCTTATTTTAGGGTCCGCCAGGCTCCCAGGGAGTGATCGGACCTCAGGGTGAGGAAGGAAAGCGAGGACCACGTGGAGATCCGGGCTCGGTTGGCCCTCCTGGTCCCATTGGTGAAAGAGTGAGTCGGTATACTTTCTCAATAATCATGTTTAGGTGTTCCAGAATCATTTGCTTAGTAGTTGATCCCCACTTATGTTATACACCCATTTAAATCCCCAAATGATGGAACAGTGGTCAAGTGTATCTTTACAAGTAAAGTAAATATCCAGATGGCAAAGAAAGTCCAATTAAAATCTAATAAATCAAGTTTTTATGACTCACGTTGGTCTTTGATCATGTGGACCAAGGGTCTATATAGCTCTGTAATTCAGCCACTGATGTAAATTGAAATCAATAAAGACCAACTGCTGATTTTTACCCAGTCTGTGTATGTTTGCTAAACCATAACAGACCACAATAGCCCAGAAATATCTGGTATTCAGGACTTATCTCTTGCTGTCTGGAAATGATGAAGGTCACTGAAAACCATACTAAATGTAAATGTAATGAGATTTAACAACTTCTGTTTTCAGGGATCTCCTGGAAACCGAGGTTTCCCTGGTGCTGATGGCCTACCGGGACCTAAGGTACTGTAGTTTTGCTGGGGACAAATCATTTTTATTTTGTTTTTAAAGTTAAAAACATGATCTCTTTATTTTTTGGAAAGGGTGCTCAAGGAGATCGTGGCATTTCTGGCCCAGCTGGGCCAAAAGGTTCTCTGGGAGATCTAGGGCGCTCAGGAGAGCCTGGTCTACCAGGTGCAAGGGTAACAAAAGAGCTTGGCCTTTTACTTTGAGCTGTCATTTAATTTAACCGTGTGCAAAATATTATTACTGAGCTTATTTTGTTCTAAGATTTAAATATTGTTTCTACAGGGTCTTACTGGTACCCCGGGAGTCCAGGGGGCAGAGGGCAAGCCAGGACCACTGGTGGGTCACAGATTACAGATCAAAAACTGAACTGTTCTTGTTCTTGTGGCAATAAACGCACTGCAACTACCATAATAGAATATATATATATATATATATATATATATATATATATATATATATATATATATATATATATATATGTGTGTATGTGTATATATGATTTGAAAGTTTTTTACTTCCTCGAAATGCCAGCGAAAAAATAATCTAAATCTTCTCATTTAACATGTGATAGAGTTGTTCAAAACTAAATTTGTTGATCTGAAAGTGCATATTTGAGTCTTTGAACCATTCTTTGTGTGTGCTAGAATAAATAATGGTCTGGTTTTTCTTCAGGGTGCACCCGGTGAGGACGGCCGTCCAGGCCAAGCAGGACCGATTGGAAACCGAGGCCCTGCAGGAACTATGGGCGTTCCAGGCCCCAAAGGCTTTAATGTAAGGCTGGATATGTTCTTAGAACTGGGCATCAGTCATCATGCCAATGTATGGTTCTGGTTCTAATTCCAAACATCTTCTAGGGTGACCCAGGAAAGACCGGTGAACAGGGATCTGCAGGAGTGCCGGGTCAAAGAGTAAGCACATTTCTTTGGAGTAAATTTCATGTCAAGGAAATTTTTATCTTCATCTGTTTTACTACAAAGATTATTTTAGTTGAACACATTTAAAGAATGATCACACCTTCACCAGGTCACCTGAATTGTTTTTGTTTTTGACGTTGTCATCAGGGACCTCCAGGAAAAGATGGAGAAGTTGGCCCTGCAGGTCCCCCTGGTCCACCTGTAAGTATTTACGCTCTCATATTACACTAAGAATTATGGTCATTTCTGATACAAATCACACAATGAGTTGTCCTTCTTTAAAGGGTCCTGCAGGAGACAGAGGAGAACAGGGACCACCAGGTGTGAATGGATTCCAGGTGTGTTGTTCATTTTGGCAGTCAGTCAAAGAACAAAATAGGGATGGTATGATGTCATTGGTCAAATACTTTTGAAAAGAACAGTTGAATTCATTATTGTAGACTCAAATAGAGTCGACTGGATTTAAGTTGGACCTGTCTGTCCCAAGAAGGCTAATGATGCAATCAGACATCAATGATTTTTCCAAGTGATGGAATTTGGACCAGCCATATCAACTGATTCAGAGGGATAAAGTCTCCATTTCCGATATAATTAAAAACACAAATCAAGATTTCTATTGTCTCAAACTTAAGTGAAGAAAATTTGCTCTGATTTAAATGTTTCCCATTTTCTTCCTTTTTTTAGGGACTGCCAGGAAACCAAGGGCCTCCTGGAGAGCCTGGTAAACCAGGTGACCAAGTGAGTTCAACAACAAAAAAAATTTATATCAAAAACCTTTCATAAGATAAGATCTTTAGTTGTCATTTGCACACACAATTGGTCTGGATGCATATGAATTCTTATGCAGACCTTAGAGTCAAGACTTTGAAGCCTAGAAGAAGGATCAAACCCTAAGAACCACAACCAAACAATGAAAAACAAATGGGAACAATTGGGAAAACATATCTAGAAATAATATTTCTAGTTTTTTGTTATCCTGTGGCTTATTGTTTGGGCCAAAATGATGACATGGCATGTTTCTTTCAGGGTATTCCTGGAGAGATTGGTCCTGTGGGTCAAATTGGACCAAGGGTAGGTGAATTTCAGCTCTTTTCTTTAATCTGAAGACATTAACAGCGCTGATTACTTTAATGGTATCTCACTTCTAGGGTGAACGTGGAATCCCTGGAGAGAGAGGAGATCTGGGTCCGACCGGTCTGCAGGGACCTAAAGGAATTCCTGGAGCACCTGGTCCTGATGGACCAAAGGTATTTTTACATGGGGATGGCATTTGTATAGCTCATTGATTTAGATTTAATAATCCTGATCTTTTTTTTTTCTTGTAGGGCAGCCCTGGTCCTACAGGTGCTCTGGGAGATGTAGGGCCCCCTGGTCTCCAGGGAATGCCAGGAGAAAGAGGAATCTCGGGACCTCCCGGGCCAAAGGGAGACAGAGTATGTGTGTAGAAATGTTACCCAGTTTTATTTTTTTGCAAACCTGTATTCGCACGAGCCTTACACTTTTTTACTGTTCTTGTTTAGGGAGCGGTTGGAGAGAAAGGTTCAGAAGGTACACCAGGAAATGATGGTGCAAGAGTAAGAAAACATCTTTGTCATTGGGAATGTGCTTTCTCTTTTCTAAAGTGTTAACAAAGACGTTTAATTTATGCTGGCGAGACAAAAATAAACTAGCTGATGGTGAATTCGTGTGAGGCTTGTCCCAGCTCGAGTCTGCGTCAGAATGTATGACGATGACGACCAGATTTCTCTAATCTGATATCTTTACTACCTACAGGGAGCCCCTGGTCTCGTTGGCCCACTAGGACCTGCTGGACCCAGTGGTGAAAAGGTTCAGTTTTTCTTTCCTAACACATTAAAGCTATTTTCATGCTACAACAATGTAGGATTAATGTAAGAGCACAGTTCCAGTTAAGGGTTGGGATTTAATTAAACATGAGACCTTTTCACAGGGGGAACCAGGACCCAAAGGACCAGCTGGGCCTCCAGGATCCAGAGGAACACATGTGTGTGAATCTCATGTTTTTGTTTTTCTTTAAAAATTATTCCAATTTTAGACTTTTTGCCATTTTAGAGATTATTAATTTACAATGTGTATTATTTTAGGGAGCAAGAGGTGACCCCGGTCCAATTGGTGCTGTAGGATTTTCTGGACCTCCTGTGAGTAGATTTGATGGTTTTGTTTTTTAGCTAAAAGGTTATTTCAGCCAAGCTTAATTGAATCGACACTTTGCAGGGTCCTGATGGTCAACCCGGAGTCAAGGGAGAGCCCGGAGAGCCAGGGCAGAAAGGAGATGCTGGTTCTCCAGGGCCTCAGGGTTTGGCTGGTGCCCACGGACCTCCGGTGAGTTTCATGCATGAGTACAAGTACAAAATGTTGCTGAGCAAATGAAGTCGCACTCAAATGGTCCACTTTTAAGAGTTTTGGTGGATAAAATCTTTTAAGGCTTTAGTTTTAATACATTAAAGTAACATTTTCTGCATGTGTTTCTGACTTGTTTCATACTTTAGGGTCCAGTTGGTGTTTCTGGACTGAAAGGAGGAAGAGGAACACAGGGGGCTCCGGTAACGTTACAAGCTACCATCAAACTTTATCATATTGACTGTAAAAGTGGATTGATTCTGTTGTTGTGTCATCTAGACACTTAAAAATTGCATTATGTGGTGTAAGATGCAAAACTGAGGGTGTTTTTGCTGGCAGGGTCCTACTGGTTTCCCTGGATCAGCAGGAAAAGTTGGACCACCAGGTCCACCTGTGAGTATGACCACGAAGGCAGGATATGAGAAAGAAATGTCAAAGTGTCGTACTTCCTGTTGCATATTGTAACTACAAAATCTCTTAAAAGGGACCACTTGGAGAAGCTGGACCCCAGGGACCTCCAGGAAAAGAAGGTCCTGCTGGACTCCGAGGTGATCACGGGCCCCCTGGAAGGCAAGGAGAGCTTGGACCTCCTGGTCCACCAGGGAGCCCTGGAGACAAAGGTGACCCCGGAGAGGACGGCCCCACGGTAACCTGATGAATACACCTTTTGGTTGAGATAACTCTGGTCGTCAGATGTAATGAAATCTAAAAGTTTTTGTGGTTGGGTTTAGGGTCCCGATGGTCCTCCAGGTCCAGCTGGAACGACAGGGCAGAGAGGAATTGTGGGTCTCCCTGGTCAGCGAGGAGAGCGTGGGATGCCGGGTCTTCCCGGACCAGCGGTTAGTTTCAGAACTCCTATTTTATAAGCAGTAGTAATTTGCCCATCGTCATGGTACCAGTTCAGATCAAACTACTTCTTGGTGTTTCTTCTTTTATCTGAAACCTGCTTTCATGTTCAGGGTCCACCAGGAAAACAGGGAGCTGCAGGACAAACAGGAGATAAAGGCCCCCCAGGTCCAGTTGGTGTTCCTGGTGCTAATGGACCTCGAGGCGATCCCGGTCCTGATGTGAGCTGCTTTCATTTTAGTTTTTGTTCTTGCATCTCTGCAGCTATGCTTTAACATGTCTGCTCCTCAGGGTTCTGCAGGATCTGACGGTCCACCAGGAAAAGATGGAAATCTCGGACTAAGGGTACGATGTCAAAAAAAAAAGGGATTTCTGTCTTAATTTTAATGGATCAAGTGACTGAAAGTGGACACATTTCAGGGAGACCGAGGAGATTCTGGTCCAGAGGGTTTGATTGGTCCTCAGGGGCTTCCTGGACCTCCTGGTCCTGTTGGTGCTCCCGGTGAACAAGGAAGAAGAGGAGAGCCAGTAAGTGTTTCTCCGTTCCTATGGCTAATGAAATCGACTCACAGATGAAGTTTCTCTAATAACTCTGGTCATCTGCAGGGCTCAAGAGGACCTCAAGGTCCACCTGGATCCGCTGGCAAAAGAGGACTAGTGGTCAGTCGTCTGGCATGCTGGACAGAAGAAAATCTTCATGTCAAGGTTTAAAAATGTGTTTAACTCTAAATTTAGGGACCACAAGGACCAAGAGGAGATAAGGGTGACCTGGGTGATCATGGAGAGAGGGGCCAGAAGGGACACAGAGGCTTCACCGGTCTGCAGGGTCTTCCTGGACCTCCGGTAAGTTTAAGTGATAATCAGGAACCTAAAGACGCATCTGTCAGCTCAGAGGTTTTCCAGGGCTTGGTGTCATATTAGTTTACAGAGGCATTAAAGAAAAACAGAAAAACACAACATTTAGTTTGAAAGAAATCAAAGTAGTCTGAGTTAGAAAACTGAAGAATTTTTATTTCTTTCTTCAGGGCACAACTGGTGAGCAAGGAGCTCCAGGAATAGTTGGACCAAGTGGCCAAAGGGTAAATGTTTCAACATCGATTTCATGAAGAAAATCCATGTTCATCTTTTAACAGCTTCTGTTTTTAGTCTGTCGGTGAAATGAGTCATCAGGGTTCCATGCAAAATGAAAAAGCCACATTCCTCACAGACTTTACTGTAATGTGCTGCAGGGCCCTCCCGGACCCATCGGACCTCCTGGGAAGGAGGGATACCTGGGCCAGCCTGGGCCAATGGGACCTCCTGGTACTCGTGGACTTAGTGGAGAAATTGGACCACAGGTGAGGACTCCATATACATCAGATGGGACATAACTTCATTTTTGTTGTGTTTGTCAGTAAGAAATAAAATGTATGAATGCAACAGGGACCCCCTGGGGAAGATGGACCTCCTGGTCCTCCCGGCCCACCAGGACCTCCTGTGGCTGCTGTGGATGACCTGTTCGGCCCCCACGATTACGATTCTGGGCCTCCTCCTCCTCCAGAGTTCAGCGAAGACGAGGCTCTGCCCAACAGCAACGCCTCTGCCATCATTGTCCCTGTTGACCCCAGTGTTCAGGCCACCCTGAAGGCTCTCAGCAGTCAGATCGACAGCATGAAGAGTCCTGATGGCAGTAGGAAACACCCTGCCAGGACCTGTGATGACCTGAAGAGATGCTACCCCTTAAAAAAAAGTGGTACGTTTCACCTAACCTGAACAGAAATGTTCGATGTAAGAATTTGACTCATCTTGATCACATGTTAATGTAGGCGAGTACTGGGTGGATCCAAACCAAGGTAGTGCAGAGGATGCCATCAAAGTGCACTGCAACATGGACACTGGAGAGACCTGCATCTCTGCCAACCCATCCACTATACCTCGTAAAGTGTGGTGGACTGCCTCTAGGAGCAAACCAGTGTGGTTTGGAGCCGACATAAATAGCGGGACACATGTGAGGGCTTACTTTCTGATTATGTCTGCAGGTCTTTTCTAAAGATTTTTCAGCATTAAGCTCTGACATCTTCTTTATAGTTCACCTATGGGAACAAAGATCAGCCTGTGAACTCCGTCACGGTGCAGATGACTTTCATCCGCCTGCTCTCCAAAGAGGCATCTCAGACCATCACCTACCACTGCAAAAACTCTGTGGGCTACGAAGACGCCCGAACGGGCAACTTGAAGAAAGCAGTGATCCTCAAAGGCTCCAATGACCTGGAGCTGAAAGCTGAGGGAAACAACCGCTTCCGATACACGATGGTGGAGGATTCCTGCTCGGTAAGTTCAGCCCAACGTGGCGTTGTTTTTACAAGCGGATGAATCATGAGATGGCGTATGAAGCTACTTAAAGGAGATCGAAGTTAAAGCTAGTTTATACTTCTCCGTCAGCAAGTTAGCGCTCACACACACACACACACACACACACACACACACACACACACACACACACACACACACACACACACACACACACACACACACACACACACACACACACACACGTGTGTTGATGGAGATGTTTTCCATTTCCACTCTGCTGGTGTGTCAGAGGTATGAAGCAATTCTCCACCAGGACAGCAGAGGGCGTAACATTTTTCTGGTGTATGCTGCCTTTGTTGTGTCACGTCTCTACAGTGATGGGAATAATAATATAATTATTTCAGTAATGAGTAATCTAATGAATTACTATCTCCTTCTATCATAACGCCATTTCCATTACTGATTAGAAAATGTGTGCGTCACTAATTCAGCAGCGCGGCGTTGAAGTCGTCATCAGCTGATCGGGAGCTAAAGAGGCGGATGTTTTCATCCAAGCGCGTCATGGCCCGTGAAGAACAAGCTGCAGACCGGCAGATTCGCTGCTGCAGGCGTGAATCTGCAGCCGTGCCCTTCTTAGCGTGACAGCGGGACGTCCCGAAGGTCCGCTCACCTGTTCACCGCTCAGACGTCCTGATCTTCTACCTTCCTAGATCATCCAGCTGTAACCTGTTTCTGATCATGTCTTTAGTCCTGCTGTAACACTGATGCATCAGTCTCAGACGGCATGGAGCTCAGGTGTTATTAGAACTACCTGTGTGTGTTTACCACCCAGCTTCAGCTCTTCTGTGGTTGGGTCTGACCCACGTTAGTAAATGTAAGTCCTCCATCAGATCTGTGCCTCTTCTAGTGTCATTTTAAAGGATATTTATTTATTTATTTAACCATTACTAGATTACCAGCAGCACAAAGGCTACTAAAGCACACACTGATGTGAAGCTGGAAAAATTAGAATACTGGTTAAAATTACATTTATTGCAGTAATTTAACTAGACTGAGAGACCATTTAAAGGCTCAGGAACCGTTACAGGTGTTTCTATTTGCAATTATACATTTTAGCTGATCGGGGTTCAATTCAATTCAATTCAAGTTTATTTATAAAGCGCCAAATCACGACAAGAGTCGTCTCAAGGCACTTCACATAATAAACATTCCAATTCACAGTTCATTAAGCCAATCAGAAATAATGTTTCCTATATAAGGAACCCAGCAAATTGCATCAAGTCACTGACTAGTGTCAGTGACTATACAGCAATCCTCATACTAAGCAAGCATGCAGCGACAGTGGAGAGGAAAACTCCCTTTTAACAGGAAGAAACCTCCAGAGAATCCTGGCTCAGTATAAGCAGCCATCCTCCACGACTCACTGGGGATCGAGAAGACAGAGCAGGCAGACAAAGACACACACACACACACACACACACACACACACACACACACACACACACACACACACACACACACACACACACACACACACACACACACACACACACACGGACAAGTGATGTGTCTATAGTGATATTGTGATGTCTTAGTAAATATTGTATTTGGTGAAAGATAAACTTTATTGTATTTATCCTAGTTGATCTATAATTAAACAGATAAACTAGTATTAGCACATCAAAAGTCAATGAAAACAAAAAGTTATTATCAGGAGAGAGAGAATGTTTTAGTGGTTAGCAGCAGTGTGCTAGTCGATGGCCCCCTCCATGAGGCCACCACAGCTCAGCAGAACGTCATTGTCGCTTCTTCTGGGGAGAAAAACACTTACAGAGAAAAATATCACACAGTGGCCTTTTAATAGTCTAGATTAGTGAAATGTTCCTGTTTGTAGTTCCTCCTGTTAAGTGCCCATTTATTTCAATTATTCAGTTTTATAAAAGAACAATTGCACATTTTATTATGTTCTAGTCATTAGTCATTTATATTTCACTATTGTAGTCATTTGTAGTAAATTAAGTAAGCTTAATTAGAGGGGAACCCATTTATTTTTCATTCTTTAATGAAAAAAGTAACATACAGTTTTTCTTGGTAATTAGTTACTTTTATAATCTTGTAACTCGATAAGTAACTGAGTTACTTTTTTGACAAAGTAATCAGTAACGATAACTAATTACTTTTTAATAGTAAAGTTCCCAACACTGCGTCTCTAGTGAGTTTACATTGAGTTTATGCATTTTAGAAGCTTTTTAACACACATTTGCTCTCCACTTTGCCATCCAGTCACCACCTCTAAACTCGTGCTTCCTGTAATTTTCTGACCCAAATAAAAAGTTGCTGCGTATCTTAGTACTCTTTCAGTCACCATTAAAATTTTATATCGTCAAACTTTTTCTGCGAGAATTTCTTCAATTTGCTCCATGTTTGTCGCTAGTTGTGTTTGGTTCTGGAGGAGCTGTTCATGAAGTAAAAGGAAGCAGCGTCCTGAGTGATCACAGGCTTGCGGTCAATATTTAGAAAAGTTTGGTATACCCCATCTGTGCTTGCAAGCTTGTTGAAGAGCCCGTACGATGACGGATAATGGTGCTGCGTGTCTCCGTACCAACACACACGGAGAAGTATAAACTAGCCTTTATTCTGCTTCTCAGTAGAGAACCACACTGTAGGCGGACTGTAGCATATCACTTGGTTTTTCTGGGTATAACTTGCCTGATGTCTTAACATCAGTTGTTTTGTAAATGCTGTTTAAAACAACAGTTGGTGTTTGTGAACACTCTTTAATTGATGTCTTATATATGGTATGTTGGTGTAACATGGGAATCTTTATTAAAGTTTACTCACTCATTTATGTCTGTCTAACTGCTGTTCTCGGCAGGTTTTAGACAAGAACAATATTCATAAAAGTCAGCTGGTGATATTAAGAGCTTACACTATAAATACTGTTTCAGGCAAAGCAAATGAGCTCCTTGTTTTCCCCCTTATATGGCTTTTTATGGTTTTTAAGGAAATGATTTTGCGATAAATTCATCAGAGTAAAAGTGAAACTAACTTAGAGATCCTAAAGATGGAGCTAAACATTTTCCTGTTGTTTTGGTCTCTTTGAGCACACATCATAATGTAAGGATGTTATAGTCAGTCCCTTATTGTGGTGTGGCCAATGTGGGTGTGGCCAGCTACTCTTAAAAAAAAAACCCGGAAGCTCCGGTTGTGGAGACAGACCTACTATCTGTAAAATGTAAGAGTTAGAATCACTTTAGTGTCTCAAAACAAATTTTCTGTATTTATCTTATGAACCAATACTCATTAATCACTAATTATATTTAGAAATTTGAAATAATGGATTATTTCCTCACTGAACTTGTTCGTCTCTTGTTCACAGAAAGCAAGCAGCAACTGGGGCAAGACAGTACTCGAGTACAGGACACAGAAAACTGCCAGGCTTCCCATTGTGGATATTGCCCCCGTGGACATTGGTGGGCCCAATCAGGAGTTCGGTATTGATATCGGACCTGTGTGCTTCTTGTAGAGCCAAACAGATGGAGGAGAGACTGTTGAACTGACAGCTGATGCGATCAGCCGCCTTGTACATACGAGGACTATTCCGGCCCTGTGGCAAAATATTTATTGTGCCTTTCAACCCAAGTTCAAGACAACAGACGTTGGTATGAATGTTTGGTTTTACGGAGAAAAAAAAGGTGGTTTTAAAAATCTGATTCCTTGTTTGTGTATGTTTCACTTCAGACGTCAAAATGCTTGAAGCCTAAATTACATTTAAGAATGACAAATAATACCAAACATTAACTGCTGTTAATAATAAGCCCCAAACCGATAGAAGTTCATTGTCCCACCACTATTGTTGTTATTTTTATAATTTTCTTATTTTTTAGAAATTTACAGAATTCTCTTTAACGAATAGAAAACTTTGTGGTGCTATTGAGGATTAAAAAACCGCTACGCAGCCGTGCGGCTTGGAAGATCCGACTGAACTCTGAACCAGGAGGAGGACTGAACACATTAGCTGTGTCGATTGCTCGGCGTTAGCTACCTCGTCACCGAAGCTGAGACAACGACGGTGCTACGTGTAACGTGTCTTTCCCAGGTGCTGGTTTCTTTCTGCCGTTCAGGGTTTGGTGAAAATAATAAAGATCTTTCTGTCAACAATGGAGAGATGAATGAGGTGCTGTGTGGTGACTGGTAACTCTTTTCTTCTTTCATCTTTAGAAATGGTACAGAAGCAAAATATACTTCTCTTGATGCACACCTTATCCCCCTTTTACAGCATCCTGCACTTATATTCTTTTAGAGGTTTCCTATAACCAGCTTTCCAGAATAAGTAGCCATTTGCTTTGTATTTATCTTATTTTTTATTTTTATTTTCATTTTTTTTTGCTATGCAACAAATTAAAAGCTTGTTAACCTCCCCCAAGCTCTCATGACATTAATGAAGCAGTAGCTAGATCTTGTTGGCTGTTTGTTTTAAATTTAAACTCAATTTTTTGTAGTTAAACAAAACAAAAACATTTATTTTCAGGTTTCTAATGCAAACAGTTTGCTTTTGGTTTTGCTGACTGTAATTTTTAGTGATTCTTTTGTTGTTTAAAGATTCTTTCTATTTATTACTGATCCACTAGGGAGCAAAAAGACGAGGGGAGAGAGGAAGAAGAGGAAGCTTTCCGTAAACGTTTCATCATTTGAAAAATAAATGTTCAAAATTATCTCACTGCCTGTTTTGTTTTGAAATTGATTGATTAGCTCCTGTATCATTAGTACGGAGATTTCATCCTTTTAAGTGCAATAAACAAGAGAGAACTGCCTGTTTTTAACCGTTTTATTACCAAATGTAAATATTAAGAAGCAGCACCAATCCACCTGTTGACCTGGCGCTCCATCTTTCCCTCACTTTTGAAAAAGACCTCGAGATACTTAAACTCCTCCCTTTGAGGATGCTAATCTGAGCACTTTACCCATAGATGCTGCGTAACCAAGACAACTGCGGTAATGTTGTTGGAGGTGCAAACACACCGGTCACAGTCAGCCTTCCAGCTGATGCTTTAGACAAATATATAACTGGCTCAATAGACAGCTACAGCTTATAAACTTGACCCCCCATGTTCCAGTCAGAATTAATAAAGCTCCTCGGATGAGAGACAAAACATCTTCAAGAAACCAAAGAAGTCCCGTTGTCTTCATTTGAACCGTTTTGGAATAGCATGACCTGGATGACTGAGAACCTTCACCAGCATAACCAGCTCTGTCCTGAGACTGGGATATTGGGCCTCTGGTCCTGGTTGGGTCATACCAAAGACTTGAAAAATGGCATCCAATGCCTCCCTGCTTAACACTCAGCATTAAGGGGTTAGTGGGGGCTAAACCACCAGCTAGTCCCTAAGTATGGCCGTGTCTGCGGCTCACTATTCCCCAAGTAGTGAATCGACGAAAGACGAAAGATCCTCATCTGTGCCCCCAGACTAGCTGGTTCCCAAAGTCAGAGACTCTCTTGGTCAGCTTGCTTCCCACACCAAACCTTCTGTCAGGAATCTTGGCGTGACCTTTGACCCAGCTCTCACCTTGGATTCTCATGTCAGTTCTCATGTTCGCTCTTCCTTCTTCATCTCAGGAACGTTGCTAAGCTGAGTCCCATTCTGTCCCGCTCTGAACTTGAGACAGTTCTCCACACCTTCATCTCCTCATGCTTAGACTACTGCAACTCTCTTTTCACGTGTCTGAGCAGAACCTCCCTGAACCGTCTACAGGTGGTTCAGAACGCCTGTGCTCGGCTTCTGACCAAGTCCTCCAAACACACCCACATCACCCCGCTTCTCCTCCAGCTTCACTGGCTGCCAGTCAACTTCAGGGTTCATTTCAAGATCCTGGTTCTGGTCTGTAAGGCCTTACATGGACAAGCACCATCTTACATTGGAGATCTTCTTAGTCCCTACACCCCCAGCAGGTCCCTGAGGTCCAGTGATCAAAGCCTACTGGTTGTGCAGCACCAGGCTAAAGACCAAAGGTGACAGATCATTTGCTGCTGTGGCCCCCAGACTCTGGAACTCTCTCCCCCTGAGCCTGAGATCAGTGGACTCAGTGGTCTCCTTTAAAAAGCAGCTGAAGACTCACTTGTTCAAGCTGGCTTTTGTATGACCTTCTTCACCTCTCTCTCTTTATTCTGCTCTCCCCACCTATTCCACCTTCCTCAGGATCTACTGATTTCCTTCTTTTGTGTTCACTCTCTCTCTTTCTTAACATAGTTTTAATCACAATTGCCTATTTTTGCTCATTTAAATATATGTTTAAACATTTTCTAAATGCTTTTTTATATTTTTACATTTTTTGTTTTTGTGAAGCGCCTCATGATTTTTATCTTGAGAGGTGCTATAGAAATGATATTTTCTTCTTCTTCAAGGGGATGGGTCGGATGAAGAGGACAAATTTCACCACACACCAAATGTGTGTGACAACTGATGGGTTTCCATATTGGAGAGCTTGAAAATTAATGCCTTTTTAAATTAAGTTATCACAGTGACTAGCAATTAGCTTGTCAATCTGGTTAAATGTAATCATTATTTCTCTAACTTGAGGCTGTTCAAAAAGTTATTTGCTACTTGAGTTGATTTGTTTGTGGCCTTTCTCCACTTCCGAAGATCTCAGCTACCCATAAGCATTAATGTAGAAGAAATAAATGAAATCTTTAAAATAAAAACATTGAGCTGTCAAAACTCTGATGTATTCATATATTGGAACAGAAGAAACACTTCAGTCTGCACTACTGCCATGACAATATTATAATTAAAGTTCTACTGCCCTCTAGTGGAGTAACCCCAAATAACGTGCTGACAAGTGGTTTCATGGAGCAGATGTTGAGTTTTAAGTACTTTCTAAAGTTTCATGAAAACGTTCATTAAAATGTATTTGATGAAAACATACTTGAAATGTTGTCAGATATGTTTATGTTTATTTATTTAGCAGACGTTTTTATCCAAAGCGACTTACAATTTATAACCTATAGGGCATGTTGTGATCTGTGGGGGAAACTGGAATACCCGGAGGAAACCCACGCATGCATGGGGAGAACACGCAACTCCACGCAGAAAGGCCGCAGCCCAGTTTCGAACCTGCAACCTTTGTGCTGCGAGGCAACAGTGCTAACCACTGCACCACCATGCAGCAGATATGGTAGTCTGACTTATTCTTTCTGCCTGTAACAAGGGCCTCTGAGTCCAGTGTTTTGGTTTTCCATTGCTGGATAATATCTGGTGCACTGAACCAAACTCTAGTATTACTGCTACTACTGCTGCTGCTACTACTGCTACTGCTATTACTACTACTGGTGCTACTACTAATACTGCTACTGCTATACTTGCTGCTATTACTACTTCTAGTACTGTTACTACTACTGCTACTAATACAACTGCTACTGCTGCTGCTACTACTATTCTACTGTTGCTGCTACTACCATACTACTGCTACAGCTATACTACTGCTGCTGCTACTACTAGTAGTACTGCTACTACTACTGCTACTAATACAACTGCTACTACTGCTGCTGCTGCTACTATACTGCTGCTGCTACTACCATACTACTGCTACTGCTATACTACTGCTCCTGCTACTACTATTCTACTGCTACTGCTATACTACTGCTCCTGCTACTACTATTCTACTGCTGCTGCTATACTACTGCTCCTGCTACTACTATTCTACTGCTACTGCTATACTACTGCTCCTGCTACTACTATTCTACTGCTGCTGCTGTACTACTGCTCCTGCTACTACTATTCTACTGCTGCTGCTGTACTACTGCTCCTGCTACTACTATTCTACTGCTGCTGCTATATTACTGCTCCTGCTACTACTATTCTACTGCTGCTGCTATACTACTGCTCCTGCTACTACTATTCTACTGCTGCTGCTATACTACTGCTGCTGCTACTACTATTCTACTGCTGCTGCTATACTACTGCTGCTGCTACTACTATTCTACTGTTGCTGCTTCTACCATACTACTGCTACTGCTATACTACTGCTGCTGCTACTACTAGTAGTACTGCTACTACTACTACTGCTGCTGCTACTATACTGCTGCTGCTACTACCATACTACTGCTACTGCTATACTACTGCTCCTGCTACTACTATTCTACTGCTACTGCTATACTACTGCTCCTGCTACTACTATTCTACTGCTGCTGCTGTACTACTGCTCCTGCTACTACTATTCTACTGCTGCTGCTATACTACTGCTCCTGCTACTACTATTCTACTGCTGCTGCTATACTACTGCTCCTGCTACTACTATTCTACTGCTGCTGCTATACTACTGCTCCTGCTACTACTATTCTACTGCTGCTGCTATACTACTGCTGCTGCTACTACTATTCTACTGTTGCTGCTTCTACCATACTACTGCTACTGCTATACTACTGCTGCTGCTACTACTAGTAGTACTGCTACTACTACTACTGCTGCTGCTACTATACTGCTGCTGCTACTACCATACTACTGCTACTGCTATACTACTGCTCCTGCTACTACTATTCTACTGCTACTGCTATACTACTGCTCCTGCTACTACTATTCTACTGCTGCTGCTGTACTACTGCTCCTGCTACTACTATTCTACTGCTGCTGCTGTACTACTGCTCCTGCTACTACTATTCTACTGCTGCTGCTATACTACTGCTCCTGCTACTACTATTCTACTGCTGCTGCTATACTACTGCTCCTGCTACTACTATTCTACTGCTGCTGCTATACTACTGCTGCTGCTACTACTATTCTACTGTTGCTGCTTCTACCATACTACTGCTACTGCTATACTACTGCTGCTGCTACTACTAGTAGTACTGCTACTACTACTACTGCTGCTGCTACTACTAGTAGTACTGCTACTACTACTACTACTAATACAACTGCTACTACTGCTGCTGCTACTACTATTCTACTGCTGCTGCTATACTACTGCTGCTACTACTGTACTGCTGCTGCTACTACTATACTACTGTTGATGTTACTACCATGCAACTGCTATACTACTGCTGCTGCTACTACTACTACTAGTACTAGTACTGCTACTAACACAACTGCTACTACTGCTGCTACTACTATACTGCTGCTGCTACTACTATACTACTGCTACTGCTATACTACTGCTGCTGCTGCTGCTACT